TTTATGATCATATCTGTTTTTCAAAAACCAAAGTAGAAAAGCAGCAGTTGACACTTTGATCAGCCATGTATTTGATAGAAACTGGATTTAGTTCTGCTAGATACGGTTGAGAACCAATATGTCTGTACTAAAACCCTGATCTTAATTTAGACTCTTTTTTTTAGATGAAGCTTGCTATGATTATTTTTTATTCCATCTGGTTTCTTTTTTTCTTTTTCTTTCTTTCTTTTTAGATGAAGCTTGCTGTGATTATTTTTTATTCTATCTGGTTGCCCCCAGGCCCATTTTCATTTTCCTAATTGGAGCTCCAGATATCCAAGGAGATCCCAAATGAATCTGGACAGTAGGATGGATGGGGAAATAATAGGAGGGGAAACCCAAGCAAATTCTGATTTGCAAGAGGGCAAAACTTATAGATTTCTCCCAAAGGGACTGAGGTTTCCCTAATGTTTGTTCATTTCCACCGTTCAGCCTAAAAAGTTTGCAAAGATCATTAGCTGACACACAGGGCCAAATTAAAGTTGTAATTTTGAAAAAACAACTGGTGTTTTGATTCTCTTATAAATGAGCACATCTTGGAAGGAAAATACATTAATCCAAGCTGGTGGTGACAGTTGTTCTGTGATTTTTGGAGTTGTGTCAGAACTCAGGTTATTTATCTTTAATGCATTCTAAGCTTTACAGAGAGGCAGGATTTTGCAATTAAATCATGACTAAAATTGTCGGTCAATAATACTTGTTCAGTGTTGGTAACTGCAAGTGGTCTAGAACTCAAAGACCCGAAGGAGTCCTTTTTAAGTGTCATCAATTCAAGATGCAATACTATGCATATTTACCTGGGAGTGAAGCCAACTGTACTCATTTGGGCTTACTCTTAAGAAGCCACGTGAAGTATTACATTGTCAAGAGGAGCTGGTCGTCATCTGCAACTGACATGATCATACTTCATGCCCTGATTTATTCATTCCAAACATTGTCATTTAAGCAATTGTTAACATCAAATTGATCTATCTGGTTATATTTATTATGGTACTGATATGTTTCACCCCATGGAGCAGGGGAAATGAGTTAAGGAAAAACTGAGACATAAGGGTTTGAAAAACCAACCTGTCCTCCAACATTTCAGCTGGACTTGCCTCTTTCCTCCATGGCTGCAGTGCTGTTAGACTTTGGGAACATAGCTCCCCAAATCATATATCATTGTGGGGTGTTTTTTGGGGGGGTTGGGGGAATCTGGAAAACTTAGAGGTTGAGGGCTTGAGAACACTCCAGCATTACTACTACAACTTGCCTGCTGCGTTCTGAAATCCTCTTTTTTAAAAAAAACACAAAAGGTGTATTTTTACATTTAGCTTCTATTAGTTGGAATAAGGTAAGGCTGGGTGAGAAAAAGAGAGAGGAAAGGCAACAGGAAGTTGGAGGAGGGGAAGGTTTGGTCAAGGGGCTGAGGCAGCCCAAAGCTTGACAGGGCAGGATAATTTTTGCCTCCCCTGAGTTTTAGGGTCTGGGTTTGTCTAAAGTATTTTTCTCTCTGCTGACTGTCAGAAAAATATACATCCCATTTGTTACCCTCTTACTTCAATCCTGGGATATTTGGCCTTCTGAAATGTGAGAGGGGGTCTGGCGAAGTCTCTGCCAGAATGGCTGGTGTGGAATTCTTTTGCCCACAGGCTCCGTCCCCTGAGCCTCCACCGGAAGCTGGGAGGCCATGATCCATTCCAGAGGTCTAGGCACCTCCTAAGGTGCAGAATCGATCCAGGCTTGTTTGTGGAGGCAGGAGGGGGCAGCGCTGGGAGAGGCAAGTCCAGTTCTCTGGAGGGGTCTCTCTCTCTCTCTCTCTCTCTCTCTCTCTCTCTCTCTCTCTCTCTCTCTGTGTGTGTGTGTGTGTGTGTGTGTGTGTGTGTGTGTGTGTCCTCCCTTGCAGTTTGGGGGCGTCGATAAACTTTACTACTATGCCAAACAATCTTTACTGAGAGTAGTGCAGGAGCGCATGATTTCATGAAAGAATGCAGTAGAAAATTCAAAATAAAGAAGTTAGCTCAAATCATGCACAGCTCAAATCATCTCCCTCTCAGAAGCAAGTAGGAAGGCTTGACTGGGTGGGTGGCCAAGAGGAAGTGGGAGCTTTATGGCAATCTGTTCCAGAAATCTCTCAGCTGACCTTGGCTTAAGGTCCAGATGGGAAGGCCCCAAACTCTTCTCTCTCCCCCTCCCCCCTCCCTCACACACCTTATACTATACTGACACATTTCAGCTACTATAGGTTCCAAGTCTTCTTCTAAATAGTTACCATTGTTTTTGCAGTGTTTGAATAGTAACTATATTCCTTCACATTTCCAAGAAGTAACTAGAGTAGTTATTTTCTAGTTGCCTTTAAAAATCTGCATGCTGTGAGCTGCTGGCCTGTTGTACAAAATGTACTTTCCTTCCATCCACCTCAACAAGGTAGGAAGGAGCAGCGTGACACACACAGCATGAGACAGCACTTGAACCAGATGGCATTTAATAAGGTCACATCATAGAACCATAGAATAATGGAGCTGGAAGAGGTCTATAAGTCCATCCTCATAACTGCAAAAAGTAACCAAAGTTACAGTTATACTGCAAGGATACTGTTCAGTTACAAGTACATAGTAATATAGTTATTTATTATTGATAAAAGAGCAAATTATAAGTTACTACTCATTTGTAACTAGGTAACAAGTAGTTACATGTGTACTGCATATCCAGGCAAAACAGGGGAAATAAAATGCTGTAGCATCTTGAAGACTGACTGCTATATTTCAGTGTGAGTGTACATCCACTTCTTCAGACATATCAGAATGATAAAAAACCACACATTATATACAGAATAGCAGAGGAAATGGATTAGCAACACAGCTCAATTGTGCAGGGTAACAGACTCTCCTAAGCATTGACTCCTTGATTGAGGCTGCTGCCATTTTGCATCTCATGTGAAGTGTGGGACAGTGCATTCAAGCCAACATTTTACTGCACATTATTACTGACAATAGTGCTGTTGTCACCTGGTTAATCCATCTCCTGTGCCTACTCTGTCTATAACCTGTGGTTTTGCTTCTACCTAATAATTCTGAAGAAGTATACATATCCATGAAAACTCACATTGAAAATATAACAGTCTAATGTGCCATAGCATTTCGTTCTGTATTTTGTTTTATTTAGTTTTTATTTTAGACTGAATCTTCTTGCACAGACCAACATGGCTACTTCTTTGAAAACTATAGTTGGACTGTACACACTTTTAAGATTAGGTTGGTAAGGTGCAAAAAGCAAAAGCGTGTTGCTTATATACCACCCCATAGCGCTTCAAGCACTCTCTGGGCGGTTTACAAGTTAATTATGCAGGCTACACATTGCCCCTCCCCCCCAGCAAGCTGGGTACTAATTTACCGACCTCGGAAGGATAGAAGGCTGAGTCAACCTCGAGCCGCTATCTGGGATTGAACCCCAGGTCGTGAGCACAGTTTTGGCTGCAGGACAGCAGTTTAACCACTGCGCCACGAGGCTCCTTCAGTTTTTAGGTCTAGCAACAGATAGTGAAGAATGAAGGATTATTTTTATACCATCATTCAAAATTGCACAGAAACGTGCTGCCAAAGATTTGCCTGATTATTACCAATTTTTTGGAAAGACCACTTTTCTGCTACTTCTCCTCTAACAGTCTGCCACTTACTCTTTTTCCCAAGCTCTCTTGGTTTTGCTACCCTCCTGCCTTCTCCCCTAACAATACATGAGCCTATTTGTTCCGGGCACTGTTGGTGAGGCTTTTCTCCACCCTCTCCTGCCACATCTTTAGCTTCTGCTCTCTCCCAGTCCTGAGGCTCCTGCCTACTCTGGGCACAGTGCTGCTACTTTCCAGCCTCCCTTCATGTTCTTTTTCTCTGTACCCAAATACGGCAGGTCAACTGCATATTTTAACCCTTCCCCACCACTGCAAGTTCTCATTCAAACATTTAGCAAAAATAATTGAAACTGATTTGCATACTTCCCAAGGCTAGGTTTGCTCACCCCTAGCTTATAAGAATGTGGAAGAGCATTGCCTCATTGCTTCATTTGTTGAAATTCCATAGTGCTTGTCTCTGGGGTTCTTTTTATTTTATTGCTCACTGCTTTTGAAACCCTCATTACTCACTGCTCTGTTCTCTTCATTTGATAGCAGCAAAGATCTAATGTTTTCCGAGTGGTAGTTTTAACTGAACAGACACTTAACCCCTTTCAAAAGATAATGTGTCTCATTACCTAGCAAATGCAGTATGTAAACAGCCATTTATCTTAATTGGTGGTAATGCACAAACCAGGAAGGTTAAATATAGTGTTGCACAGCACACTGTGATGTTTCGAGGCTGCAGCAACTGCTGTGCAGATACTGCTTGCTGCCAGCAACGTCCCACCGCCATGCTACAATAGCAGATGCTGTCTCGCATCCTCTGTTAGCACACCGTTTTGAGGTTTCCTATTTTTGACATGAGGTTTTTAGGTATTAGTGAAATGAAAGATAATGATGGAGGCGATAATGATGGAACAGATAATGAAGCAACCCATAATTTAACTACAACATGTTTATTTCCATTCATTTCTCTAGCTACTGCTCCATGAATTATTTGGATAATACAAACAGGGGGTCCTAACAATGTGAAAGGTATTCAGGCTTAATCTGATGAAGCAGGAAGGCTTTGGGAAGATCTAAGCGGACCTGGGGTCTTTGACTTCCATACATTTTTGGAAAAGCTTGGAGACCACTGAAATATTTTGGTGTTTCCTTAACTTCCCTTAGTAAAATAGAGACATGGCGTACCATTTCTTAGGCGTAGCCTATGATTTGAACAATTAAAAGAAGAAGGTTTAGGAGCAACATACAGCAAAACCTTTCCTGATTACTCAGTAGGCTTGAGAAGTAGGATTTTCTTGTAAACTGATGACATTTTACCTCATAAACTTTGCTGCATTTTTAATACTTGCTTTTTAAATATATCTTTCAGCTTTGAAGAGATCTTTTGAGGTTGAAGAGGTAGACCAGCCACCAAATTCTTCTACTCCACAGAGGCGGACACCAAACACTCTTGTTCGGTCCACAGTGTCCAGCTCTGCACAGAAGTTCCAGGATCTTGGCACCAGGACGTCAGAGAGTCCTTCCAGACATGTGGACCCACCTGTACAAAGGTCCCCCAAGTCCTCTCTGAGAAGAGTGGAGCTCTCTGGGCCAAAGCATCCAGAAGGAGTGTCCAGAAGAACAGAAATCTCCATTGATATCTCATCTAAGCAAGTGGAAAATTCCACCTCAGGAGCTTCAAGATTTGGCCTCAAAAGAGCAGATGCCTTGGGGCATAAGCCTCCGGAGACCACTCCCAGAAGGACTGAGATGAATATAGGTAAGCCCCAGGACCAAGCACTTCGCAGAATGGATGTCCCTTCAAAGATCCCTGAACCAACACAGCGTAGAGTCGAAGCCACTAGTCCACCTATGCCTGATGTTGCCACCAGACGTGTGGAGATCCAGGTAACAAAATCTTCAGAGGTTCCAGCACCACCAGCCAGGCAGACTGAACATGTGGAGGTCTTCCCAGCCACTCACCATCTGCCGCCAGAACCAAAGTTACAGCCAATAGCAGTGACTGAAATCCCATCCAAAAATCAAGAAGGTAAGGAAACCAGAGGTTTAATTTATAATCCTTCTTTACTCGTGTCTAATATGTTTTTTGTGCTTTCTCTGATAGTTCTGTTACCTACATCGATTATTATAGTAAATTATTTGGAGGTACAACATTAGTACTGTGTTCATAGCTATTTCACTATAGCTTACCATATTTCCAGGATTTAGAGAAAGAGTTTTGGGGCCAAGTCTCTGTGGTATACATTAATGGACAATAAGCCTACCTGTGAGATGGGCTGGTGTTTGAATGGATTGTAGACTTCCACAGGTGAATTGGGAACCTTTGCGTATCCCCAGATCTCTTTTCCGGTTTATTTGCTGTACTGTTACGAATTCCATGTATTACAACATTGGCTCAGTGGAGACAGTGCTCATCTGGACTGAAAGCAGATTGACTTGGGTGAGAGTGTAGCATGCATTGGATGCTTCTAGTCTGAGAATAGAGTGTTCAGTGCTTTTCAGTGTCATAGATGTATTGCAGGTGTTTTTTATGCACGGTGGAGCTTCAAAATAAATCCTCCTGTGGAAGATTTACCCACATTGTGACTACCATTCATCAGGCCAGTATTGTGGCCTGTGAAGATTTTAAGCAAACAGTCCCTGGCAGACAACAAAAGCAGGGTTGTCAAGGCCAAAGTGGGCTGCATTCCTGTCTCATACATCAGAAACAATTTGTCCCTTATTCGAGACAGTTGTAATGCTGATTTGTAATCTCAAAAGGTCATGCTGAATATTTGCTTTTTTAAGTGATCTAAATAAAGGTATCATCTCCTCAGAATTTCTATGGTGTAAAGGACCGCACGCCTCTCTCTGGGCTTTGTGATTTTTTTTTAAATGCTGAGTGTTAGTGTTATCTTTGCAACATGTCCTTGTTAAGTGGCTCTCATGCCTCTTTGGTTCTTTAGACAAGAGTGAAAAGAAAACATTGAAACAGCATCAGCATGCCTTGGCTTAGTGCTATTTTGCTGGGGGTATTTTATACGAGTGTCTTTAGTCTGCTTTGTGTGGTTTCAAATTGTCCATGCTTTGCCTTATTTATAATCCTTATAAAGCCACCCTCTGGCTGATGTTAAGCATTAGACCATGGTGACCATCCAGATGTTTTTGGTCTTGAAATTCCCATTAGTCTTTACTAGCATAGACAATAGCCAAGGGGTTGTGCTCCAGCATCTGGAGAACTGCAGTTGTTTACCTATGCTTCAGATATTAACACAAAGCTATTAACTTACTATGTGCAGCACTCCCAAGAAAGTTGTTGTTATTTTCATGTCTTTGATGAGTCCTTCATTCTTTTTTCAGTGGAACAGCAGGCAGGCATGTAGGCATATTGGGTAGATCATACAAAAAATCATTGTATTTGGATGGGGGAGGGGATAGGCTAGCCCCTACACATTTCGAGACCCCTGGCTCCACAGCTCTCCATGTGTTTGGGGCCAGCTTCCAATCTGTTTTGGAATGCACTTTTTAATTTAGGACCCACAGGAATCTGAACTACACAGGGAAGCTATACAAGTAGGGAAGACTCCCCAATGCAGAAATCCTGTCCCAGCATGGGTTGAGCTGTGAGGCTGGGCAGAGGGGGAAGGGTGGTGAGTACATCCTTACTGTTCCCTCATACATGATGGGATACCCAAACAGGGTATCCCTCTCTCTTCACAGGCAGAGAGAGAGGAATGTCCACTTTTTTTCCCTCCAGAATCTTGGGAGTTAGGATATGACTTGACTAAGTAAACAAGGGCGCACTGTTTAGGGAAGGACTATCGTAATTATTATTATCCCCATAGTAAATACAACTGGACTGAGTCTGAGACCACTTATTGAGTTTATAGCTGATTTTAACCAGCTGCATCCTGGCTGATTTCCTCATAGCTGCTGTGGTTCACGAGTCACTGTGCTAGACAGTTTGAAGCAAGAACAAATGTTTGCTTGCTTGCTTGTCTAGAAAATTTGCACCTGCCCCATAAATAAGGTGGTTTACAACAATTAAAGCAATGCATACAGTCTTAAAATTTACCTGTTATGTAACGTAGCTACTGATACACTGCCCCCCCCCCAAAAAAAAGGCTTGGACTAATCCACTCATACAGAGGGACTGGATATTATACGATATGACTTGGCTACATCAGCTGAGGATTAACATGTCTGTCCTAAGGACCATAATGAGGTATAAATGACCGCTGCCTGCCCGTATTTCCTCTCCACACCCGTTCAGGCATTACAGAAGCTTTCTGACCATGATATTTGTGCAGCAGGCCCTCACTAGCGGTGGAATGATAGGAAAACTGTGAGCAGCATCACCTTGAATCACATGAAGTCATCCCATGTCTATCCAAAGCAGACAGTAACAGGAAGAGACGAAAGGGATGCTGCAAACAAGCATCAGTAATGCCTTCCTCTTAATATATGATTTAGGCCTTAGTCTTAAGGTGTGACCGAGTGTGTTTGCTTAACACTTGTCTTCACTACTCATCAGGACAAGCAAATTCCTTATGAGGCAGTGAAATGGGAAAGGGAGGGGAAGCAACATGTGGTCTGTGTAAAATTCCAAAAAAAATTGTACTGTTCTCTATGAGGCAGGGATATGTGGTATTGTTTGTGTTTGTGAAGGTGGATAATGCTACTAGGCAGCATATACCCTTAGGGATACAGTACTGGAGTCAATGCAAGCAGATGTGGGGTAGTGTGTATTATTTAGTGGTTTAGAAGGCATGTAAGCCCACCTCCCTAAAGTTTAAGGCTCCATTGTGCCTACATAACTTCTCAACTCTGAAAATGGCTATAAATTGCAGACTAGAGGAAAACATGGTGGCAAGGTTTTCAGTTAACACTTTTGTTCTTCTCAGTGCTTAGCCTGTTGAAGAGTTCTCAAAAACTTAAAAGCTCAGGTGCGACTTCCTCACACGCTGGTTGGTCCTAAAAGGCATTATCATAACATAGCTTTGTTATTATTGCTCTTTTTACTGAGGCCAACATGGCTTCCTACTTATTTTCTCTCTTTCTTTGGTAATTTGGAGAATGCCTTGTTTAACTGTCTAGAGGCAACCATGGACCTGCATGGCTAGCTACCTACAATTTTTGTATTACTAGCACTGTGATTTCTCATCTGAATCTTGCTCTGAAGAGCTCGCTTTACAGTACTTGATTATTTGGTGTCAGGGTACCATGTCTCCTAGGACCCTTACAAAATGTTGCAACTTAACAGGGCAAAAACATTGCCTGGGCTATATTAGTCTTAGTCCATGTTTTGAGCTTCCAAACAAAAGGGACTTCTGTTATACTTTCTTTAAAAAAATTCTAGGACTAGGAACATCTCACTGAGGAATGCATTCAGCCAACAAAGTTGTGATGTGCATGTGGTCTGCATTGCATCCCATTTTGGCATGCAGAGTCGTTTTACTGTGGCAAACAAATCAAATGAAAAACAGTTCCTCTGTTCTTCATAGTCATAGGATCTGTTTTCCTCTGGCCCCTACAGCTGGAAAGTAATGATTTTGCCATGGGACTAAAGCTCCTCTTTGCCTCCTTATTTTATGTTGGTTCTCTCTTGGTTTGAATTAGTCCAGTTATGCATTTAATCTCCTTCTCCCTCACTGGTGCAAGGCTCTGTTTATTTCTCTGTTCGTTTATGTTAAAAAGACTATTATACTTTCCTTCCCAAAACTTCCAGAGAACTATCTATTCCCTTGCTCCCCTGTTCGCCCTCCCTCACCTTTCCCTGGGTGTCATTTTCTTGTCCAAGACTGTGTCCTCTTCTTGTCCAGTCCATCAACCGTGTGGTAGTTGAGTTAATAATTAGAGGGCTGCTCGGATAAGGAGCTCTCTCCTCCATTTCCCTGTTATTCTACCAATCACCTTATATTAAATCTGCCACAATAAGTTACAAGGCAGCCTTTTGTGATTCCTTTTGAGATAGAAGGCACTCCTTCTATTACATTCCTTCCAGTTGTTGTGGCTTGGGGCTCCCAGCACTTCAGATGTCTTTGCAGTGTGTTAGCCTATTGGCACAACATCTTGGGATATGTCTAAAGGATTTTGCACGGTGCTAGGTTCCTGCTTCTAATACTTAGAACAGGATGTAACTTTGTCTGGGGCTGTTCCAACTTAAATGCTTAAAAGCATGTGGAATCACTGACACCATCGTTTGTCACTTTCTGTGTCTGTTCTTCGCTGCTCCTGAATTTCCATAGCTGTGCCTTTCCCTCAACATTCACAGGCTGTAATTTGAAGGTGTGTGTTGCTGTTGAATATAAAGTCCTCTGGGATAACCACAGAGTTCTCCCAAATAACTTTCTCTTGCCCAAGCATGCTAAGGAAGAACTGGGCTCTGCTGTGTACGGCTAAAAAGGCATCTGCTTTCTTTAGATGTAAGTTGTGTGGGAAGGCAAAACAAGCCCTCATCCAAGTTCTCTTTCCAGTCTGGTCTCTGAGGGATGATTTCAGGAACAGGCTCAGTGAGGGGCAGCTTTAACAAACAAATCCATTGAGAAACTTGTCATCTGAGTAATCCACCATAAAGACAGCTTTCTTCACACTGACTTGTTCAGCAAAAAGAGATCCTGAGGAGATTTCTAGAAGGGACTGCAATGTCTAAGCATAATTCTCTTGCTTTAGGGCAGTGCTTTCACTGACTTTGCTGGAATTCTAGGCAGCCAGCTAAGTGGAGTACTAACATTCATCCAATGGTTTCCACAGTGTAATGCAGTCAGAAAATCCAAAAAAAGCTTGTAGCTAGAGAAATTTTTACTTTCTCCTAAACTGGTTATTAAGTTAGTTAGAAGAAAAGATGCTTGGTGAAGGGATGAATCAGAGCAATTAACATACTTGATAATTGTTAGATCACTGCAGTTACCTTACAATCATCTTTAGAAATGTGGCTGGTTGAGGTTGCCTCTTGTTGGTATAAAAGTGGCTCCCATTCAGCCATCTTGCAGGGACTGGTGCCAAAACTTTGAAAAGGGATCCATGATTTTAGGGCAGGAAGAAGGCCCA